AGAAGTTTTGGAGTTGGAATAGTTAACATCTTTCTTGGCAGTCTGTCAAAATATCCTGGGAAACCAGACAACGGCTTCTCACATAGACGCTTCTCTGTCGTGTGTTCTTGTCAGTTCTCGTCCATGTGATGTGACTGGTCTCTGTTATGTGGAGGGAAGCTGGAGCCCCCAGGACACCCTGGACAGGCTGTGTGTCACCTTGCCTGGGCTGAGCTGCCCTCGACAGTTCTGTTACACTGAGCTGCATCGCCTTAGCAGAAGGAGGTATTTAAACTGGTGGGACACAGATGTGAACGCTTCGCAGGAAATGGTTCTTTATTTTTGATCAATCTCATGATCCTTGTTACTAACTTTGATTACATCAGCTTATGTGCAGTTCCATTTTATAGCATTTTGATGGGCTTTCATTCCCCCGCCCCAATTCATTTCCAGCTGTGTGACTATTATAATTTGATTACAGTTAGGTTTTGCAACTGCTAGACACTTTCTGAGCTGTTATGCCGTCCTTGCGAGAGGGAAGATGCCCAGAGGTAAAAAAGGAGCAAAGGGCTTTTTTTTAGGAGGCACGTCCACAAGTAGTTTCCAAAAGATGCCTCAGAAGCTTCAATGATTGTATCCTCCCAGAATAAGGAATTTGCTTTAAAGTTTTTGGTACAGTCTGACCCATTGACTTTTAAAAAAGGGTAAGAAGACAAATACTGTATGATAACACTTATATGTGTAATCTAAAAAATACAACAAACTAGTGAATATAACAAAAAAGAAGCAGACTCACAGATAAAGAGAACAAACTAGTGGTTAACAGTGGGGAGAGGGAAGGGGGAGGGGCAAGATAGGGGTAGGGTATTAAGAGGTACAAACTATTACATATAAAATAAGCTACAAGGGTATACTGTACAATACAGGGAATATAGCCAATATTTTACGATAACTATAAATGGAATATAACCTTTAAAAGTTGTGACTCACTATATATTGTACACCTGTAGCTTACAAAATACTGTACATCAACTACACTTCAATAAAAAAGTGAAAAAGAGTACAGAAGAATCCATTTAAATTTTTCTTTCTTTACTGCTCTAAATATTTTGGTTAAGAAATATATTATTTTAAACTTAGACCCCTCCCCCCCACCCCCCCACCCCCATTTTGGCATCCTTGGATCTACATAGACCAAAAAAGAGGGACATTCATAATGTCCCTTCAAAATGAGCTACTTGAGTCTCCCTTTTGGCTCTGTAATCCCTGAGGCTCCTCCTCTTCCTACCTTTTCCTCACTCTCCTCACTAAGAATCTCTGCTTTACCTGGTAGACATCATGTGATTACATCTGTAATTCCTTGGGCCATTATTTTTTTTTAATTTATTTTATTTATTTTTGGCTGCATTGAGTCTTTGTTGCCGCGCGGGCTTTCTCTAGTTGCAGCGAGCGGGGTCTACTCTTCATTGCGGTGCACGGGCTTCTCACTGCAGTGGCTTCTCTTGTTGCCGAGCGCGGGCTTCAGTAGTTGCGGCATGTGGGCTCAGTAGTTGTGGCTCGCGGGCTCTAGAACGCAGGCTCAGTAGTTGTGGCACACGGGCTTAGTTGCTCTGCGGCATGTGGGATCTTCCCGGACCAGGGCTCAAACCCGTGTCCCCTGCATTGGCAGGCGGATTCTTAACCACTGCGCCACCAGGGAAGGCCCCTTGGGTCATTATTAACCTCTGCCATATGCCTATCTTTTATTTGTTAGGTATTTGATCTCATTGATTATGTTTGTGTTTTAAGATTGATCAATTATAGAATGTTGTATTTTTGGTTTTTGAAAAGGACATTATCTTAAAATTAGTAGCATCACCACATGTCCAAGGTTACCAAAGATTCAGACACCTAAAATTTACTGTGCTTAATCAGATCACCACTCCAGCAAACCAGAAAGGTCTTTCTATTTGTGTATTAAACTCTGGGAATTGAATTATTTTGAGGTCAAAAATCAACTATTATTATTTCAAATGTTTCTTTTGTTTGTTTTCCATCAGAAAGTTATTTTTCTTTAAGTGTGTGGTTTTAAAAGATTGGTGCATGCCCTTCTTCACCTCCTTCCTCCATAATAGCTCTACTTTTACAGGATGTTTCCTCTGACCTTCTAGCCTTTTCTATGGAGTGTTTCTCTTCTATTGTAATGGAAATCTTTGTATCTGTGCTGGTGGTTTGGGTTCAATCTAGAGTGCCTTTGTTGGTTACCACTGAGAAAAAAGTGTGGCTAATGGGGGATTTTTAAGGGGCAGGGGGCTCTAGAAGCCTGGTGTCCTAGTAGATCCCATGCAGAAGGTTGCTCTAGAGCTACCTCCATTCTGGAGTGGGACCTCATGCTTCCTAGAACAGGGAAGTGTCACTTTTACCGGTGGTTTATTCTTGGGGTCCTCATTTCTTTGTTAAAGGGGTTTCTAAGTTTCCTGGTGGATTTAGTACAGGAAATAGAACCTATTGGAGACCTGACACTGAGTTGGATTCTGCTGCTTGGCAAAGCTCTTGGTACACATTGCCTTGGTCTTCATCACCGCAAAATCTTCCCTGGGAGGTGGGTGGGTCACTTCAGTTTCCTTCTGCGTGTGTTCTGGTTTTCCCTGGCCTCATTCCTCCTCTCTCTGTCTCCCGGCAGGCTCGGGGACCAGTTCTACAAGGAGGCCATTGAGCACTGCCGGAGTTATAACTCGCGCCTGTGCGCAGAGCGCAGCGTGCGTCTCCCATTCCTGGACTCGCAGACCGGGGTGGCCCAGAACAACTGCTACATCTGGATGGAGAAGAGGCACCGAGGCCCAGGTGAGCCATGCCACCCCTGGGACTTGCACATGTTCAGGATCCCAGCCTGGATGCAGGCCGACTAGAGATTGTCTGGCAATCCCCGCAGTTCAGGTGTGCATGGGGGTGGCGCAAGCTGTACAGGGAGCCTAGGATGCTTTCAAGAAACTCAGCTGCTTCTATAACTCCAAGGTGCTCCAAGGGTGCTCCAATGATGGTGTGGGACATTGAAGCCACATTGGCAGGGAGGGGCAGAGTGAAAGAAGTCAGGATGCTTAACCCAAAAAAGGGAAGACTGAGGCCATGACAGCCCTCTTCACCTTTTACCCTGTGTGTTGGTGTAGCTTAGTGGTTATAAGCTGGAAATCCGCAGTCAGATTTTGGTTTGAAGCTGAGCTTTGTCATCAAACCTATTGCCCTCAGGTTCCTCATCTGTAAAATGGGATAATAATTGTACCTACTTCAGGACTTTGTCAGGATTACATGAAAATCTTCATAAAAAGCTCATAACCTGAATTTAGCACATAGTAAGTATGTGCTCCAAAAATATTGGCTGTTATTGTTGATATTATTATTATTACTATTACTGTGATACTAGTCTTCTAGGCTCCAGAGAACAGAAGAAAGACCAATAGGTGGAGATCAGGGAGGCAATTATAAGAATTCAGTTTTCTGGCTCTATAAGGGTATATTACAAAAATTTGTTTTTAATTTTTAAAGTTTTTTATTTTTGGCTGTGTTTTGGGTCTTTGTTGCTGTGCGCGGGCTCTCTCTATTTGCGGCAAGTGGGGGCTACTCTTAGTTGAGGTGTGCGGGCTTCTCATTGCAGTGGCCTCTCCTGCTGTGGATCAAGGGCTCCAGGTGCGTGGGCTTTAGTAGTTGTGGCCCATATGCTCAGTAGTTGTGGTTCGTGGGCTCTAGAGCACAGGCGCAGTAGTTGTGGCACACAGGTTTAGTTGCTCCATGGCATGTGGGATCTTCCCTGACCAGGGCTCAAACCCATGTCCCCTGCATTGGCAGGTGGATTCTTAACCACTGTGCCACCAGGGAAGCCCTAAAATTTTTATTATGAAAAGTTTCAAAGCCATACAGAAGAGGAGAGAATAGTAAAATGAATTTCTATGTACTTATCACACAGCCTTAACACCCAGTGATCAACTCATAGCCAATCATTTCATTTATACTCACCTCCCACTTTCCTCCTTGAACCCAGGTTATTTTGAAGCAAATCAAGACAGCATATTATTTCATCTGTAAATTTTTCAGTATGTATCTCTAAATGGTAAGAACATAAACATACCAACCATAGCTATCAAAGCTCAAAGTTAAAAATAAGACATTAATAGCATCAAATATTTGTTCAACATTTATTTCCCCCTATAGTTGAAATCAAGATCCAAATAGGACTCTCCTACATTACAATTGGTTGATGTGTCTCTTAAGTCTCTTTAAATCTGTAGGTTTCTTTCTCTCTCTCTCTTTTTCTCTCGTTATTTGTGGAAGAAACTGGGTTGTTTGCACTGTAGGGTTTCCCAGAGTCTGGATTTTCTCACTGCATCCCCATGGTGTTATTCCTGTGAATTGGTAAGAGCAGATTCACGTTCAACTTTTGGGGCTGGAACAGTTCCTAAGTGGTGATGTGTACGTTCATCAGGAGGTTCATGGGGTCTAGATATCACTATTTTACTGATGTTAGCAGCCCTTGATGAAAATTGCCTAGATCCTTTATACTATACAGGGTTGCAGAATGGTGCATTCAATTCGAGGATATCATTATTTCTTCATTTATTAGCTCTATGGCATTTATAAAGAGAAATATCTCCTCATTAAAGTTTTAGTTATTGTGTGGTATAGTTCACATATGAAAGGATGGATAAATGATTTTTCCCCTTTATCAGTTTTCAAAATAATGAGTTGGTTCCCTAGTATTCTCCAAAGGTGATCAATAAAGTTATTTTTATTATCTTGAGTACCATCATGAATTCACAGATTTATACATTTTGGCTACATTTTAATCCATTGCAAGTATTATTCTTGATGCTTAAATTGTCCCATCTTTGGACAGTAGGGGTTTTGTCCGGTGCTAGTGTTTTGATACCACCTAGTAGTTTCTCTAGCATCCTTGATATCCTAATATTGGGACAAATGTTTCAGGCTCATCTTGTACATGTCCTGGCCCAGACCTAGAATCAGCTATTTCTCTAAGAAACCCTGTTTCTTCTTTTTTTTTTTTTTTTGCGATACGCGGGCCTCTCACTGTTGTGGTCTCTCCCGTTGCAGAGCACAGGCTCTGGACGCGCAGGCTCAGTGGCCATGGCTCACGGGCCCAGCCACTCCGCGGCATGTGGGATCCTCCCGGACCAGGGCACGAACCCGTGTCCCCTGCATCGGCAGGCGGACTCTCAACCACTGCGCCACCAGGGAAGCCCCTATTTCCTCTTTGTAGGAATATTATTTAGAGACCACGATCTGGTGGTGCTCATTGCTCCTGGGTTGGTTGTTGATTCTAGGACTTTGCAGTGAGCAGATCTAAGAAATATGATTTCTTGTTTCATTATTTCTCTTTTTAAGGGAAAATACATTATGAAATTTACTGGTATTTCCCATTCAATTCAGTTTTCGACAGTTTTAACTATCTTAATTCTCTATCTCCTTTCTCCCACACCAAAAAAAGATACTGGCTCTTAATGATGCCAGCATAATTACTTATCTGTTTTATTCTGTGATAAACACACAGCAATATCAGAATAAAATGAGACTGCCATCAATAAGGTTACTTAAATGGTTTAAGTTTTTATTTCTTTCTTTGCAATTGTTGTTTTGTCCTTAGCGTATTTCCTATTAAGGATGTAGAGTCAAATTACTGTGTTTAAGGTCACTTAAAATAATTCCTCTGTGTGGTCGTACTACTAACTCAATACACAGTTGGATTTATTTGTTTCATTTTTGCTTTCACTTATTAGGTATTGCTGGGGTTTTTTTTGTATTTTATGTAATTACATTTTTAAATTAACTTTTTATTTTGAAATAATTATAGATCCACAGGAAGTTGTAAATATAGTACAGAGAGATCGCCTGTACCCTTCGCGCAATTTCCCCCAATGGATATATCTTGTGTAACTATAGTATAATATCAAAACCAGAAAATTGACATGGATGAAATGTGTGTGCATAGCTCTATGCCATGTTATCACACGTATAGATTTGTGGAACCACCACCACAATCAAGATACAAAACTATTCCATCACCACAAAGATCTCCCTCATCCTACCCCTTTATAGTCACACCCACCTCCTCCTCTCTTCATTTAAATCCTTTATCCTCTCGCATTTATAACAACAGTATCTTAAATATTTCCTCTACATACATTGGAAACCACATCAGACAGACCTCTAATTCTTGCTTCAATTGTCAAATATAATTTAGAAAACTTAAGTGTCTGTTGTATTTACTCATATTTTTACTCTTTTGCTGTTGTTTCTTCCTTTCTGATGTTCCAAGATGCCTGCTTTTATAATTCCTTTCTGATTAAGTACTTTCTTTAGCCATTCTTTTTAAGTAGGTCTGATAGTAACAATTCTTAGTTTTCCTTCTTCTGAGAATGTCTTGATTTTTCCCCTCATTCCTTTTTTTTTTTTGGCCACACTGCACAGTATGCAGGATCTTATTTCCCTGACCAGGAATTGAACCTGTGCCCCCTGCAGTGGAAGCGCAGAGTCCTAACCTGGGCCTAACCTGGACCACCAGGGGATTCCGTCCGTCATTCCTGAAGGATATTTTAATTTTATTTTATTTATTTATTTTTTTATTGGGGTATAGTTGTTTTACAATGTTGTGTTAGTTTCTACTGTACAGAGAAGTGAAGCAGGGTTCCCTGTGCTATACAGCAGGTTCTCATTTCAAGTGTTGATCTATTTTATATATATTAGTTTACATATGTTAATTCCAATCTCCCAATTCATCCCACCCCACCTTTCCCCCCTTGGTGTCCATACATTTGTTCTCTACATCTATGTCTGTATTTCTGCCTTGCAAACCGGTTCATCTGTACCATTTTTCTAGATTCCACAAATATGCGTTAATATACGATATTTGTTTCTCTCTTTCTGACTGACTTCACTCTATATGTCAGTCTCTAGGTCCATCCACATCTCTACAAATGACCCAATTTAGTTCCTTTTTATGGCTGAGTAATATTCCATTGTATATACGTGCCCCATCTGAAGGATATTTTTTTGTTGGATATAAAATTCTGGGATGACAGTCCTTTTATTTTAACACTTGAAAAATGTCTTGCCACTGCCTTTTGGCCTCAGTAGTTTGTGATGAGAAATCTGCTGTCATTCAGATTGTTTTCTCTTATAAGTGAGGTGTTATTTTTCTCTCACTGCTTTTGAGATTTTTTTGTTATTAGTTTTCAGAAATTTGATTTTGATGTCTTGGTGTAGATTTCTTTGAGTTTATCCTTGTCAGAATTCACTCAGCTTCTTAAATCTTATGCTTTTTGCCAAATTTGGAAAATTTTCAGCCGTTATTTCTTTGAATATATTTTCAGCCTCACTCTCTTTCCCTTCTCCTTCTGGGACTCCACTGGGAAAGAAAATTCTGGAACTCCAAAATGTTAGATCTTTTGTTATAGTCCCATAAGTCCCCCAGGCTCCCTTCTTTTCTCCTCCTCCTCCTCCTCCTTCTTCTTTTTTCCAATCTATTTTCTCTCAGTTGCTCAGATTGGAGGATTTCTATTATACACTCTCCAGATTCATTACTTCTTTCATCTATCTTCTACATTCTGCTGTTGAGCCCATTCATTGGGGGTTAGTTTTGTTTTTGTCATTAGTTCTTCTTTATATCTTCTATTTCTTTGTGGGACTTTATATTTTTTCATTTGTTTCAAGTGTTGATGATTGTTTGTTTGAAACATTTTTATGACGGCTACTTTAAAATCCTTGTCAGATAATTCTAACATTTGTGTCATTTCAGTGTTGGTACCTGTTGTATTTTCTCATTCAAGTTGAGATTT